TAGACATGGTATAATAAGCTCAAAATAGGTGTAGGATGAGCTGTGGAGAGTTGAGGTGTTTATTAGACTCAAGTTGCTTGTTCCTGTTCCTGTGAAGCAGTGACTGATGGAATCAGTCGTAGGGCCTGCCAGTGCGCGCGAAGGAGAAATCCATTCATTACCTATTTATTCAAACTAACATTATGAACCTAATGAAACACCCGCCCTATACCCAAAACATAGACAGATTGAGAGGGAAATGAGGGAGGGGGAAGCCCCCGGAATACATGGAGAGAAACGCCAGGTGATTAACGAAACAAGACGAACGAAAATATAGAAAAGAGAGACACGATATCAAACAGTTTGAAATATATCAAAACTGGCATTCTGGAGTTGATTTCATTAACTCGGTTTTGTTTGAAGATGAAAACTAGATACTTTGAGAAGGCGCAGAGCAAGCACATCAGAGAAGGGGTATAGAGTGTAAGACTATGTAAACGAAGATGGATGAGGGAAGGGAATGTAAACCCAAAACAATATGGATAATACAGAAGGCAGGATCTTTGAAGTCGATAAACCCATACTCCCAATCCAACATATTTCCAAACGCCGCGACAATGCAACGAGAACGGGCTGAGGAGGACAAGAGACTGTGCATTTGGCACAGGCGGGGAATCACATCATTAAATAGAATTTATAAAACGAATGCTATGTTTTGGCTTTCTTTGTGGCGCCTTCCCCACTAGGGCCGCTCTCTGGGCTCTTGCGCTTCTTTTCTTGCTCTTCTTCCCGACCAAACCCGGGGCCGGTTTGCACCTGAGGAGTGGGGAATACGAGCGGACTGGGGAGTATATTGCTGTCCGGTCCAGAACGTCCAAATCCCCATTCAGCGGGAAAGAAGCTGGATGGCGATGGAAGAAGCGCATCAGAAACAAAACGGCTTGGTAACGCGGATATTGGCGTCTCTATGTTGTTGTTATTATTGTAGGCGTTGTTATTCTGCGCTGCTGCGGCTGCAGTTACTGGAGGCGGGGGCCTAGCAAACGGATTTGGCGGACCTTGAGCACCCGCACTATGTATTGCGCCAGCTGATGGAGAAGGCGGCGGTAATACGACACCTGGGTGACTGGGGTCAAGGCTGCCTTTGACGGGGGTTGCAGCCTTCTGTCCGGCAGAGGATGAGGATTCCGCGGTCGCACTACCCCGATCAGAACTTTCACTTGGTATCTGAACTTTAAGTTGAGGTCGTTTGGAGCCCAATTGTCCACTGTTAGTCCGTACAGGGGGCTTGATGTCCGATACATTTTTGGAAAGAGGGGTTGAGGTTTTAGCTCGCGGTGGGGGAGAATGGCTATGGGGTGGTTTCTGTTCTTCGGGTTCGTGCTGGATTGACTCCATCTTCGCACTTGTGCTCTCACCGAAGCCGAAAAAATTGCGCGCCAGCATCGATCCGTGATCATCGATCGGAGTAAATATGCTCTTTGACTTGGAAAGCGGTTTTATCGTTGGAGGCGACTGTGCTTTTTCCGTTTTCAATGTGGGAATCTGATCGGACGATGTTTCAGGAAGGGATGTCGTCCGCTGGGCCTGCGAATGCTGTTGACCTGCTAAATACGGCTGATTCACATGAGGCATGGGCGGGTGCATGGCCATAGTCGACGGTGGTTGTGCAAGTGCATGATGAGAGGGATGGTGCGGATGGTGCTGTGGGTGTGGTTGAGGGTGCTGCGGGATAGGTTGAGCAGGCATCGACTGTTGAGGCATGGAATGTGGAGGCATAGGCTGGTGTTGAGGTGGTGGTGGTGGCTGCTGATGGGGTCCCTGAGGGTGGTGGCCGAAATGCGCAAATTGAGGTGGTGGGCGTGGGGCCTGTTGGCCCATGCTGTGTGGTGCATTCGGATTATAGACCGTCGGATTGGGCATGTATGAAAAGTTGTTCTGAGGGGGAGGAGGCGGGGGCGGGGTCCCAAGATGAGGGCCCCCCCCAAGATTCGAGCTCACACGGCGCAAGTGATTCCTTGACGAGGGTCTAGACGCCCCTTGTGGTTGTGGTGTGCCGTGACGTGGATCGAAAGGTATGCCGTTGTGGATCGGGGGAGACGCAGAGGGTGCATGGTTGACATGTTGGAAACCTGGGTGCGCTGGCATGGCCATCATTTGAGGATTCTGGGATGGCGCACGGAGGTCTTCAGGGGCTGGTGTGGCATCTTCTTCGTCCTCATCCTCATCATCGCGTTTGCCGTTGAAGTCTTCCGGGCCTTTGTGTTCATGAGGAGGACCGATCTTAAACAACCTAACGTCAGATCTCGTATTCGAGTGGCAGCGGGGTTTTGCATGGGGTAAAGCTAACATATTGATATCGCGCAAGCGCGTCTCGCATATCACAGGAGGAGAATTCATAAAGTTTTTTGTTGTGACCAAAGATGATAACAGCGACATCTACTGAGCATAAAACCGCGAGTTCATGAGCCTTCTTGAAGAGACCGCCCTTCCGTTTCAGAAACGTCCTAGATAATCACAGTGTTAGACATGCGATCCAGATTCCCATTTACATAAAATCACGCATAAGACGAAAACATACACTGAGCGATTACGATCATCTTTGATCGCCTTGATTTCGATCTTTCTTCTACCCATTGGGAGAAATTGTGCGCGAGCGAGGCACGCGGCGCGGAGGCTATCGAGGCTGTACGGAAGGAGAAAGAAAGAGACGAGCCGGAAACCAAATCGTTCTTTTAGGATAAGCAGTCGCGCGTATTAGCGAAATAAATTCAGATAAAAAGCCGTGAAATAGGTCGACTTTGGAGCGCGCGATACGACAAGGAGGCCCCTGGGCATTTGTCAGACTCGAGACTTCTTGACCGTGATACGCGATAATTTGTCTTCGGGATAACAAGAGTGAGCAAGAGGAGACCCGAGTAAACGAAACAATAAGGTATCAGCTAGACACAGGGGAGGGAAGAGGTGCATTGAACGAGCGCTAATTGGGGGCCGGAGGATAAATAGAAGAGGGTGGTGAGAGCTTGAGCGCCGGTCGGGGGAGGGGAAGACGAGACAAAGGGGAGGCAACTTCGGGGCGAAACAAAGACAAGAACAAGAGCCTGAGGTAACCAACCTTGGGTGAGATGAAGATGGAGGACGAGGGATCGACAAGGAACAATATTCGGATGGAACAGATGGGGTGTACTCTGGAAGGGATGGAAGAAGAACGGATGATTCTTGGTCGAGACGCGCAGAAGATTCTAAAGATAGCCTGACTTAAAGGGCGGCAGTCCATAACCGCCGCCTTGCCGCTGCCTTAGCCGCCGTGCTATTTTTACCTGCCCGACGCTCCAGATTCTAGATCTCAGTCGCTAAGTTATTAACTGTCCTGGTCCCTGTCGATGTCATTCTCTCAAAGCTGAAGCCCATGCCTTTCACTACCTCGCCCTATCATCGCCATTACACCTCTCGCTCGCTGCGAACACCTGCATGTTGACTAACACAAGACTTTTCCAGTTTGCTTACTATATCACGAGTTGCCTGTGTATTCAAATGTTATTATACTATTCATCAATAATCAGAATCAAGGATTATTTTAAATGCTAGCTATCAGTGAATGCTGCAGTGTGCATTCTCTGCAGCACTCATTATTATTACTTCCTGCGGCCGCTGCCTCTGTGTGCACTGTGCCGCCAAGCGAGAGTGCTCTGTGCACCTGGCCTGACCACAGCTCCACAAGCTAAAATTAAAGGTGAAAACTAATCTGAGAGGCCGATTTGTCTAGACCCGGCATGATGTTACAGATGACGGCCCGGGTCCCCTTTCGAGTACAACCACACAGGCGAGTTACGCAGATTGACTGTGAAATGTGATCGTGCAGAACATAGGCCATATGTTCGGCCAGAAGGCACCACAATAAACAGATTCGCTGCCTCAGGCCAAGAAGACCAGGGCGATCGTGACTTCCCCATCGGGATGGCAGGAGGGCGATACTTGCCTATCCTGGCTAGGTTGTATGAAACGGGCAAAATCATAACTCAGAACGCGCTTTTATTGGGTGGTGCCCCTGACCAGTCATCTGCGCACCAAAAGATGGGCGATGAGCCGTCGCTTTGATCGGGCAGTCCATTCCACCTGAAAGCAGAGCGCAGTGGAAAAACTCGATGATATGGGATTTGAAATCCATGATAGCAATATGTTCATATCCTACGTAGCAATTGGGGTTGTGAATAGGGCAGAAATGACAGAATCCACTGCCCTGCTAAGGAGCTGCGAGAGCCAATCCCCTCAGAATGCAGACCCCTGTTTGACAGCGCAGCAACTGACAGGCTGGATCAACCATAACGTTGATTGAAGCATCTCCAGACGATCGTGGGCCTGGCAGAAACCAGCTGTGTCCTTATTTCGACCGTTGATTTGCCCGGGGGGTGGTGGGCAGGAATGGTCAACCACGGCTCCAGGAGAAGAACTGTATTTTGCGACGTCCGCCATACGTAGTAATAAATTTCACCCCTGAAACGAGCGACAGAGTAGATCCCTATCATCATCACCACCACCACCACCACCACCACTTTCTGCCTTGCGTCTGCCTCTTCTTTCCTTTCTCCTCTCCATTCGCCTTCTTCTCGCCGCCCTTTTCTCTTCTTTCCGTCTTTTTTTCCACTTTGCCTCCCCCCACCTACCACAATCTAGCTGTGGCTCCGCTCGTTACCTGTCTTGCTGCACGTCCGACGTGTTGTGCTGCAGGCAATCCTTAGGCACCCCCAGATGGCCATTGCTTTTTCCCTTGACCTTTGCAGAAACTATTCCGCCTGAGCCCTGATTTCAATCCCAGTGGCCTTTCCGTCTCCTTTGTATTCCTAACGTGCCCAGTCTTCCCTGCCGGCCTCCAATTTACCAACTCGTGTTATCGCGCCGCTCCCCGACCCGCCCACGAAAACAGTTGATTCAGCCGTCGGGCATCATCAATTACCATTCCGCTCTGCTGCTGTTGGCCGCGTCTCTCGGCGGAAGAAAAATCAGAGAGTCCAGAGCCCAAGATGCCTTCGTTCTCTCGCTTATTCCGGAGTAAAGACTCCAGTGCTGCGAAAAAGAACTCAAAAGCCCCTGCAGCGGAAAATAAAGGCCCTGCGAAGCCAACATGGACCGATGCATGGCAGCGAACGGAAGTCGGGCCAGAAGAGGTTCAGCAACTGCTGAGAGCTTGTACCCAGGAGCTCAAAGTACGAGGTATGTCGATTCACCCCCTCCTCGAGGAAATTGGAATATTGAATTCCTTGCTTCTTGTGCTGATCATTGCCTCGTTCCTCCTTGACAGCGCTTCAAACCCCGTTCATGTTGCTCCCATTCCGCCCGAGCTCCGATACTGTCACGGCCCGTACCTTCATTCGGAATTACTTCAATCAGTCTATAAAAAGAGGTTCGCCTTTTGCTGGAGATGAATTGGCACAAGAACTGCGGCTTACCGACCCGATGGTGAGTCCACAGCCTATATTCCCTAGATATCTAGTTTGGTCATGGCTCTTACTCGGCGTGCTCTTTTTTGCACATGGTTTTAGGTCTTATGCAGTGTGTTGAAATGGTGCTGGAGCAGACTCCCTGGAGGAGTTGTTACCTGGGAAGCTTACGAACTGTTCAAGGTTGGCGAGCAAGGTATGATCTAGAAATCCGGGGTTGCGCAGCTCGGGTGTACAGTATGCACGGGCTAACTTAATACAGACTCTCAATTTGCTCGTGACGCTTTCTCGACATTCATACCTATCAGCGTAGACTCAGACGCTCGGACCAAAATCATCATTGACTTTTTCGATCTCTTGACAGCCATTGCAGCGCATGGCAAGTCCAACGGTCTGGGAGGTCGGAAGCTTTCCCGCTACGCTGGATGGTGGGCTTTCGAACATACCGACACTGGAAGTGGTTTTGAAGCGGCCTACAAGAATTGGGCAAGGTACATTGAAATCCTATGTGCTAGGTGGTGGTTTATGTTTTGCTAACCTTTCAAAGCGCCGCCGATGCAACAAGTCACTTGTTCTTTGCCTATCTACGTTCGCTTTCACCTGATGCTCCTCGCGGCATGAACAGCATATCCACATTACCAATCGCCTTGCAGTCATTAGTCCAGGCCACAGAATACCCCCCTGAAACACCAACGCTTCTCCAGGTATCGACCACCAAAGTTGTCATGATTGTCGATACAGTCTCCCCGACCCCCTTCGCCTTACTGCGCCGTGCAAAGAACTTCGAATATAGAGACAGCGATGAACATCTCCAAGAATTCGCCGGGTATGAGGACCCAATGAAGGCCCTTACTGACGAGTGCCTGCGTGTTCTAAGATGTATCTCATCTACCAACCAGTCTGCAGTCGAGGAACCGGTGGCGGCAAACCGTGATGCATCATGGTCCAGGTTTGAGGATCTTGGATTCGGAGGCGCCATTGAACCTGCACTTGAAGAAAATGGTGCTCACTCAAGCTCTGCCCCAAAAGAATTCGGCGGTAGTTTGAGATCTGTGCCTCATTCTGGCGGTGGCGACCTCGGTCGCCCTACCACACCATCATGGGCTGATTTCATGTCGTCCGGCTTTGGCGATGACAGCAACTCTTTCAAGGCCCCTGTTGCTCCTCTACTTCTCCCTCCCGATAAAGTCCTTCCACCAATTGCAACCGTGCGGGGCCAAAGCTCGCAATCTCACAAACGAGGTCTCAACGATGAACCTTCTATGGATCCTGGTGAGCTGGCTAGTATCACAAACCTTGACATAGATGACTCTTTCTGGTGGGTTTGGATCAGCAGTCTAGCAGGCGAAGAGCCCACTGCGCGGAAAGCGGTCTTTGGACGTTGCGCATTGCTTGAAACAGTTATCAGGAACACAAAATGGTTGGTCCTCGAGGAACAGGTCAAGGGTGCTGCTCCTGAACCTGAAGCAGGCGCGTACATCGTCGAAAAGAAGCGTTTCTTCGGATTCTCGACTCGAAGGGGCAAACTCGGGCGCCGCAAGTCCTCAGCAAAGAAGATTGACTCGGTGGAGGATTCCTATAAGCGCCCCAACAACCAAGGACCGAATAGCAAGGCTAGCATAGCCCCAGATCAACACGCACGTATCCAAGCCGCCGCAGCTGCTCTTCAGAGAAAGCACCGGGAGGAGCAGGAGCTCGCCAACGGAACCAAGGCAGGCGCGGGTGATGATGTATCTAACCCGAAAAAGACTATTTCCATGATGACACTGCAACCATCCATCGTGAATGAAGCTTCCCAAGCTATGAAATGGGCCAGTAACTACGACAAACACGCCTACAGAGCAGCCTATCTGAGCGACACCCGTGCAGGAACTGGCGCTGCAGCCGACGAAAATAAGGAGCAACCAGCCCCATCGATGACAGCTAGCTCCAAACAGCCACCTACACCGCCGAAAGACTCTGCTCCTGTTCCCACCACAGAAGTACCAAACGCGCCTGAGAAGCCTACGGATGGTACAAAGACTGGCACTAATGTAACAGAGCCACCGACTGTGGAACCTCCGGTCAAAGCACCCCAGGAAACTGCAGAATCGGATGCGCCTCACAAGCTGAAGAAGAAAGCAGCTAACACCGGATTCAAGAGCATGTTTGGAACAAGTAAGAGAAAGGACACTGAGGGAAAGCCTCCTTTGAAGCCAACGGGAGCCGAAGGGTCGGCTGTTGCTGCTGCGCGCGCCGCGCTAGAGGGTAAAGCAAAGGCATCACAGGAACAACCACCTAGCCGCAGCGGGCCCTCAACCTTGAAAAAGAAGCCAGTTCCAGGCACACCCCCTGCGAAGACCACCAAATCTGATACCGAGACGGCCGCCGAGCCAGCTGCTGTTCCAGCTCCAGACCCCCAACCTAGCGAGCCCCAACCCAGCGAGCCTCAAGCTCCAGAGCCAGCTCACGAGCCCATGAGTGATCATCCCCAGATCCGCCGTGAGGCTGAGTATGATGCCCTTTCCCGAGTTGATACGAACGAGCAAGTAGCAGCGGACCGCGAATTCTCGAGATTTGACCAGGGACCCCTAGTGGACCAGCCGGCATTCGTTCCCGAAGACTCACCTGTTGAGGAAACACCTCCAAAGGCTGATCCTAGCCCTCCTGTGTCCCCGGTCTCGTCTACCTCTCCAGCCCAGGGCAACGCTTCTCAAGATCGTTGGGCTCAGATTCGAAAGAATGCGGCTGAAAGGATTCAGACTGAACCCCGCGCAAGTACCGCTGACGAAGACGGCAACACTAGCGAGGAAGAAAGTAAGTACCCGGGCCACTCCGCTGAGTACATTGCATATGATGTTAACTTGATGTTTTCTCCAGGCTTTGAAACCCGCGCTGCGCGTATCAAGGCACGAGTTGCTGAATTGACTGGAAACATGCAATCTGCAAACCGGTCTTGAAAATAAGTCCATTGGTTGCCTCGCCTGACCCATCTATCCGAATTTCATTTGTCCTCCTGATAGTTCTGAGAGTTGAGTTTTATTTGCTGAGTTATCTATTTCTTTTTGAAAGCTATATTCCCCTCCGATGTTTGTTTATTTCCCGTTCTATCAACTCTCTTTTTTCTTGAGATATCCTATCTCATGGCTCAGCCTCACCTGTTCTCAGTTTCAGGACAGACGTATGCGTGACGCCATCCACGTTTATTATGATTGTCGTTCGCCTTGTAATCCTCCCCTTTCTCTACGGCCGTTGGTCTCACCGCGGCAGTGACACCTACTTATTATTGTTGTTCTCTTTATCCAGTGTTATATTCCCCCTCTTGTCTTTATGTTTCATTGCCTTTGCTTCTACATTCGTGACTTATATCCTATCTATACTTGATATTATATACCTCAGCAAACTCTATGTATCTAGTGTCCTCCAGCTTTCTGTCCCGTCCATCAAAGATAAACAAGAATTGAATATTTGGGTTAACCGCTCTTGTCGTGCTTAAACTAAGTAGAAAGCATTTCCACAAGATTCTATCCTTTTCAAAAGCCAGAGACTGGAAAAGGTGAGGGTTTACTCTAAAGTATACAGAGGGACGAGCTGTTCAGGTTAGATCACAAGATAATATGGTAAGCGCTGAAGGCACATGGTTAATATAAATCACGACATCCAAAACCGGTCAATAAAAAACACAGATTTTCTCAAATGTAATAATTATAATAATACAATCCTATATATAGGCGTGCCGGTCTTTATTATACGTACATGCTCTCAAGTCTAACATGCAGGAGGTCATTATATCCAGGGTATCGAGTTATAAACGTCGCTGGGCAGGAAGGAGAAACTGTGTAAAACAGACAAGAAAAAGAAACAGCAAATACCAAAACAAGTCGGTCGCCCGTTAGTTATCAATAAAAAAAATGAACACGGTAAATATCGAGATTAAAAAAAAAAAAGAAAAGTATTTAAAAAGCATAACGCATTCGTCTCGTAGCCTCAACGGCAATAATGGCACTCACGGCACCAATAAAAAGACAAATCGAGATAGCGTTCGGCCCGCTCTTGTCGAGGTCCATCCAGGTGGAGTCTGAGTCCGAGTCGTCGCGCTTTGTGCTCCCGGGCTCAAGAATGCTGAAGACAATCCAGCTGATGAAGGTGCCCATGAATTGGGGTAAAGTTGTGTATACGTTCAACACACCAAGGTAAATGCCGGCTAACTCGCCTGTTGAGGGCAGATTTGAGAAGCCGTCTTCGGTGTCGCTGTCGCTGTCTGGATCGTGGTGGTTGAGGCGGAGGACGTCCATTTCCGAGGCATTTGCGCTGGAGTCGCCGTAGGCGCCTGAGCCTACGGTAGAGGATGTGATCATTGTTACGCCGGAGAGGCGGGATGCTTGCGTGGGGTCCATTGCGAGGCGGTTGATTTCAACCCCCATGAATGCGAAGGGGGCCCAGCAGCTCACGGCCCATGGGATGCCGCAGACGGCGACGAGGAAGGTCGCGAAAGCTCGCGAGCGGGCAAAAGGTGCGAAAATCATCGTCGCGGCGAACATAACATGGGAGATAAGCCATGTTGTTTGTAAATCAGGGCGTATTCGGGTGATTCTCTTGAGTAAGGCAGCAACACCCGGAGGGGGTCGCGGGGTGAATTTCGGTCGTTTGCTGTCTGGTGGCTGGACGCAGAATGGCAGGAGAACGGAGCTGATAAATGTGATAGACGAGAAGACTACCAGCGAGAGACTACCAACTCGTCCAACTTCTCCTAACATGTCTGCGGGTCGGTCTGCGTCCTTGGGGACTTCATACCGAAAGTAGGTTTCTCCAACCCATGTAGTACTGTAGAAGAGGAATGGAAACCAACCTAGAGTAAACATGTTAGTGTCTAGCCTTAGATGGGTTGACTGGCTCAAATACCGATCCAGGCCCAAAACTGTGCCCAACAAATAGCTTGGATACGTGGGGGTAAATCCATGGTTGTCTTGAACAGTTGAGAGAGAACTTGGAAAGCACCGGCTTTCCCATCAGAATCCCTGATGGTACCCATATTAGCATGCACACCTGCGAGATGTCTGTGGATATCTCACCTCGCTGTCACCAAAATTCTCTCCTTCACGGAGTAGGATGTAACAGACACTGCCGCCAGGAGAGCCATCGCAGCAATTACGGTCATCTGCTTGAATTGGGTATCGCCAAATGCAGTCCCAAAAATGCTGACTATGTCAAGAGACCCAATGACATACCCAATTAGCTGACCAACAGCCGACATCCTAGTAGCTTCAAGGTTTTAGCATAAATATTTAAACATACAGAGCAGGCTTTCAACGTACCCCATGCCGACCCAGCTTGTTGCGAAGGAATAGGTAATGTATCGACGATTAAACTTCGAGCACAAGCTTGAACTAGGTGGGATTAGAATAACAAATATTGTAACTCGTCGTTCGGAGTACCTACCGACGTTAATGGCGAAATCCACGGCATAAATGCTGAGCACAGCGAGAGCAATTGTAGCCCGCGAGGCCTGCGAAAAGCAGCAAAAATTAGCCATCTGATGAAATCTGACCTCAGCCATCTAGCCGTACCTTATCCGCATCCTTAATAAAGACGCTGACGATCTCCGTCGTCCATCCCAAGATCAATAGGCACACCGTGACAATAATAGAACCACCGATCATGAACGGCCTTCGTCTTCCCCATTTCGACCGAGACCGATCCGCAATGACACCGATGAGAGGTTGCATAACCAAGCCGGAGAGAGGTCCGGCAATCCAGACAAGCGAAGTTCGCGATTTGGTCAAGCCTAATTGGAGGAGGTACGGGGTGCAGTCTATCGCGGAGGAAGTGAGTGGTTAGAGGAATGCTCGAAGGGAGAGTGCTCGTCAATTGTCGGCTTACAGGTCATCTCAATGCCCCAGGTAAATCTATCGCGAACGGGAAGTCAGTACATCCTTGGTTCAATTGAGCACCTCGGTGAGAGGGGCAGCAGGTACACATACTGTAGTCCCAACAAGCTGGTGGTCAACAGCGCCATCCGCATCGACTCCGTCCGTCCCTTGATTGAGGGTGATCCCACCCATCTTGCAGCTTGTGGCATGGTTCGTATGGCCGTCCTCAACCTTCCATGAGATCGCAGGGTTCACTTTGTCGCGTGCCTACGATGAGGCTGGGTGGGAAAAAAAAGCGGTGCGTGAGAGGCTTCCAACCCCGTTGTCGCTGGGCTTCGTAATCAGGAGACAAAGACGTCAGCGCTGCGGTAGGGTTGCTCAATGGAATTCCGGGGAATTTCGTATGAACGGCTGTCGCACGATTGGGAAGCTTTAAAGGGGATAAAAATAGCGATTAAGAATGTGGATAGGATTCAAGGTGCGCACGGTCGTTTCGGGGAAATTGCGAATCCAGGGGCGCGGTATACTAAACGGCGTCGTCTTTTGGTTGGGGGGGACAGCGGGCTCGTAGAAGTAAGTGAAGAGACTCGAGAAGTGAGAAGGAATGAGTGAATAAAAGGAATTGAGGCAGACAGGCCGGAGAAAGGTGATCCGCCGAGTTGTTGATGGTGTTGGCTGCATGCGGGCCGACTCACTATTTTTCCCGTTCTGGCCTCGACGGAGTCGACTGTCAGGGTGCCAGACCCACCGCAATCAACAGCCTGAGCCTCACCACTTCACCAGTCACAACCTGGTCTAGCCTGCTGTTACGATCTTAGTTTCAACTTAGTCTTACACTGTGTCGGATTTGTCGCGTATGTCTAGCTTTATATTTCAGGCCTCTCGCTAACAACTGCCCAACCCCACCCCGTCATGCCATCTTTAGGATAGTTATCAGTCGTGTTAACATTAAATTCTCATTTTCCATTTAAAAAAAGATATAGACGCCGTAAACCCAGACGCTCTTGTCCTTGTGAATCCGTACTTCTTTTATATTTACTACACCTAAAGCCTGTTAGGCGTGGTGTGCGTCAGCGGCCACTGGTAGCCCGCAGCGTCGCTGAATTTATAACCAAAGGAGGCAGTGAAGTCGTCGAGAACGGAGGGACCCCGGGAGCCTAGAAGCGTCTGTTAGCCAACCGACCCACAAGTAGAGAATTCGTCCGCTTGGTGCTTACCATAGGGGTACTCCATAGGGATGATCTCCTTGTTGTCATCAAGGTAGTGGAGCAGGGGAGTGAACATCTTCCAGCTAGCGTCAAGCTCATCGTCACGGACGAAGTTCGAGTGGTCACCCTTGAGAGCATCCAAGATCAAAGACTCATAGGCTTCGGGAATCTTGAGGTCGGAGAAGCGGCGGCGGTAGGTGAGATCCAGCTCAGTGACCACGGTCTGCATGGAAAGTCCGGGAAGCTTCGAGTTCATCTTGATGTAAACTGACTCGTTGGGTTGGACTCGGATAACCAGCTCGTTACGAGGGATGTCCTTGAAGATTCCGGAAGTCACATCACGGAACTGAATGCGGATTTCGGTCTTCTGCTCATTCAAGGCTAGAAAGGGGTCAGTACGCAGCACACATCGAACTAGACTATTGCACCTCCATACCTTTACCGGCCTTCATGATGAAGGGAACGCCATCCCATCTCTCGTTCTTAATGAACGCGACAAGGGCGCAGAATGTGGGACAGCGAGAGTCCTGGGGCACGGTATCATCCTCCTTGTATGCAGGCTTGCTACCATCCAGCGATCTTCCGTACTGGCCGATGATGACGTTCTTTGGCTCAATGGGGTCCATTGCGCGCAGGACTCGCACCTATAACATTAATTAGCCACGCCTGTGGAACATCATATTTAATAAGCAACCTACCTTCTCGTCACGGATATCCTCAGCAGAGAAAGAGATAGGACGCTCCATGGCAAGCAGAGTCAAAACTTGCAAAAGGTCTGAAGGAACTACATCAGTACCCGCACCAATAAAAGGCCGCTTCAAAACATACGGTTCTGCATAACGTCACGGATGATGCCAAATTCATCGAAGTAGCCACCACGTC